GCGGCCGCTAGTCGGCTTCTGACCACATGAGCTTCCTCCTGCAGATATCCCAAACAATACAGGAACTACACACACAGCGTAAACATCTAATCACGTTATGTATATGCAAGTATCCTAGCTGTATAACATGCCCATCACAACAGCATTCCACCAGCACACATACTTCTCGAGGAACGCAGACTCAAGACTGCCGCGCGAATCCGAAGACTAGATGAATACCATCCGCTTCGACTTAGGGCCACAGAAAGCACAGACAGCGCTCGCCACCAACTCGGACAAATGACATGCAACAAAAGCAGACTTGGTCTGGATAGAGTTCATGATTCGAGGGTCCAGAGGATGTTTCGACTTCTGCCAGAGGCTGAACTTCCACCACCGCTCCGACCTCCGGCACACCCCCAGCCGAATCCTTGCTGGATAAGCAAGAAAGAGACTGCTAAGTTTATAAGAGAGTGGTGTAACGGCTGGTAAGCCGATTGGTCCCTGTAGCCTATGTTGGTTAACTTAGGCCTAATTCGAGTGGCGTTATTAATCAATACCAATTCGCTAATGTGCGACGCCACCCAATACAATACTTTTGCGTCGGCATTTATATGGTATTCACATGGCGTCGGACTCGGCAGTGCGACGCGGCAGTACGGCACTGCACCACATGTTGATAGGCTTACACTGACTGGGAATATACGAGACCGAGCACAATCTCTCCGGACCACAACGCGACAGTGCTGTTTTGTTTTGTTCATTTACGTGCTGGGTATAGTAATTCCCGTTGCACTCCTACTGGAGCTAAAGCACGGGTGGAGCCGAGCCGGATCAGGTTAACTACCGTAAAGTACATCTACCTCGTCCCACCTGAATGACCGGACCACCTCAGACTTCACCCATGTGTTGGATCATGTCAAGCCCAACCGTCCAGAGAACCCCCTCTTGGCGCGCCGAAGCGCAAATTCCTACTCAGCCTCGGCCACCACGCACCCGAGCCCTAGACACCTTCGCCATCTGTAACTTTTCCCTTCGATTCATTCACAGCTTTGGCTCATCTCAGCATCTCCTCATCTCATCCAGGGGTCGTTTTCTTCACTGGAGGCCTCCTCAGTTTGTGTTCCCTTTTGAGTTCCTTCATGCAGCATCCTTCTGTCCTTCAGCCGATTTCGTCATCCTAGAAACTTTGTTGAATTTCCACCCCACTGGCCTTGTCCCGTCGCTGCCGTACCCCTAACCGTGGAGGTCAAAAATGTGACTGAGAGCTCAAGACCGTGGCACCGGTGCCCCAGCATTTGTCGAACGCTCTAGTTAGTATGCCGGCGAAATGTCGTACGTATTTCGTCGGTAGCGATTCGTCGTAGGTCGAGTTGTTGGTGCCCTTGGCCGAGGTGAGGACGCATTTAAGGCCGGTATTTCGACCGTACCTTCACAGCGACTTGCAGTTGCGGAGAGTTGAAAATCCTCTTACTTCTTAGTTGGCGTTTTGGCTTTTGGAGGTATGGGATTGCTTAGGTGGGTGGTGAGATGATTGTTGAGAAGGCAGCGAGATGAGTTTGGCTAGGAGTGATTTTCCAGAGAAATAGAAAATAAGATGTTGAAGGTGTCGGTTTTTGTAATACGAACATCAGATAGGTTATAGGCTATCTGCGGTTCGTATCTGGGGTGTAGATGGTTGATTTAGTTGATCTGTGCAGTCGTGAAATCTCTGCAAGTCGGATTTTCGACCAAAAATGAGCCAACACCACTCCTCCCGATCGCCAACTCGACGAAAACTCTCAAATCCACCCTTTGTCGTGACTGAATCTCGGCTCTGGGAGAATATTTCACTCCCAGGTTCGTAGAGGACACCACTGACAGGTGTTCAGCCTTCGTCCTCCACGCGACAGTGCTGTATTACAGGTATTGTCAGGACACTAGGAGAGCCCCATAGCATAGGAAAATGAGAGGGACTAGCCTCGGTTGCGAGGAGGCTTTCACGTATATAAATGACTAGATAGACGTAGTGGAAGTTCTCTCCTTAGAATTATTATTTACTACCATCGACCACATAGTTGCCCCAGCACTTTTCCCTCGAGACTGTGACAAGTGGCTACCTATACTCCCACCCCACTGTCTTTGCGTTTACAGTGATGGTTCTGGGGCGTCCACCGAGAGGGTGTCATGGGCCTTTGTGACCTTTATCTTCGGCACAGGCACATTAATTGAACAAAGTGGTTCAGGTAAAATTACCAATGCAGAGGTCTACGACACGGAGATTCATGGAGCTTTGGCTGCTCTAGAGGCAATCACTGCCAGCAAGCGAGATCGAAGACGCAGCGCCATCTATTTCCTGCTCGACAATTCCGCGGCTGTCCAGGCTTTACTGACGGGAACAACGGGTTCATCATCCTGGCGGATCCAAAAGTTCTGCAAAATAGCCGCAAAAACAATCGCGCCTGTAAAAATAGGGTGAATCCCGGGCCACGGAGGGCTGGCAGGAAATGAAATCGCCGATGAACTTGCTCGAAGAGAACTCAACTCGTTAGACAACTCTAGGACGATACATGGTGTGATGACCCTCGCCTCATCTGGACGAAAAGCTCGCGAACTGGCCAAGCAGATGTTGACGCACTGGTGGCACTCGAATCGCCCCAAACACTACGCCGATCTTGAACTCGAGATGCGCCGCAAGAAACCGCCAGAACTAGTGCTACCTAGAGCTGTCTACGCCCGCCTAATTGCTGCTCGAACTGGACATGGGGACTTTGCGGCATATCATCGCCGCTTCAACCACACTGACGCCAAACTCTGCTGCGAGTGTAGGAGGGAAAAATCAATTGGTCACCTTGTCCAGAGTCGAAAAGCACTGGCAACTTGGCGGTTAAAAAGTGGAAGCCGAAGGGCGCCAGCTCTGGAAATTTTGCTCGGATCAAGTGGACGGCAGCTGTTGAGACACTATGTCCAGGAGAGCGGAATATACGCGGAGTCTAGTCGGGGGATGGCAGGGATACCTGTGACTCGGAGGTAATAGAACGAAAGCCTAGGTGGTTTGGCATGGAAAGAGGGATAGGAATCGAGGCTCAGGCGCGTGGTGGCTGAGGCGGAACGATGGAAGGGAGATTGTTTAAGTTTTTCTTTTGTAATGTGGGATTTCGCGGGAAAGTTTTTGTTTTGTTTACAATTCTGGGCTGCTGAATTTTTCATGGTTCAACACATAGATACGTTTTGGCATGGTTCCGGTCATTTAGATGAGACGAGGCATTTGTACTTTACGGTAGTTGACCTGATCCGGCCCGACCTCGTGCTCAAGCTCCAGTAGGAGTGCGACGGGAGTTACATTAACTAGCACGTTAATGGACAAACAAATAAACACGTACGCCATGTGGTAGCACGGTGGATGTTAAGTGGCGGGTGAGCTACATGTAAGATAAAAATTCGAATGACGAAGTCACATTGATGGTAGAGGCAACGTGAAGTGCTACGCAACACTTCATAAAAGATGATATTTTTTCGATTTAATCTATTGACTAAATAAATAAATCTTTACGTGGCATGTCTTAAATGGTGGACGTTTTTTAACTGTTTTCACCCCAGAAAACCCGGTATCATTTTGATAAGCGTGGGGGACTATTCTCAACACCTGTCAGTGGTGTCCCATACGAACCTCCAGCTCTCACTGCAAAGTCTGCAGAGCCGAGATTGAATAACTTCTTTTTAACCTTGAGCTGAGTTATCTCTCCCCCCGTCAAAGATACGCTTCCGATAACTCATAAGGCGACCAAGACGACGATAATGATGCTGGGAATGAGAAAAGATAATGCGGTACCAAACACTACAATAGTAGTCAGAGAAGCCCTTGTTATATTACAACATATGCTACCCACCGGCGGGCGAACAAAAAGCCCACGAAAGCAAAGTAAAAGACCCTTCCGCCCTCAATAAAAGTAGATTTCGAATCTGTTAGTCAGGAGGGTTTCTGAAATACATGAGTTACTCGACAACCCCACGTCCATACCGATTTTTGGATACTAGGCTACGCTCCTTCTCGTCAGTCACTCTCGGCCGAGACTTTTCTGACATCCTTTCACGACCTTCGGTCTATCCTATGGCATGAATCAGGAGAGGAGTTAGGAGGAAGCTAGGAAGGTTGAGAGACGCACTTAGGTATACATAGGTATACTGCGCACGGCTGACCGCCCTCTTCTTCATAGGAGAGCCCCGCACCCAGCGGGTTTTGAGACTTTTCCCTGTAGCTACACACCCGCAAATGGCCATCGTTTCGTTGGCTGGAGAGGGGAGATAATGAGGGGATAGCAGTTCCTTTTAGTATGTACTCAAATTAAAAACTGGGGGTGTTGCCGCTGGAAAGTAGTAGTGGAGAATGCAGAGAGGGGAGACCCTCTTTGAGGCACAGATACCCCCGGCTTGTGGGAAGAAGACACTTGCATGTCCTCGTACAGTCATAAACTCGATAGCACAATAATTACTCAGTCTACAATATAGGTTAGAAGCTGGGTGTGTTTACATAACAAGATACTCATTAGGTTGTAGGTTCATCGAGAGCGTGAGACATTGGTCTTATCTGTCGATGATAGTCACTCAAGATTAAAGGTCGTCGTCAGTAAGCTTAATAAATTATGTAAAACAAACAAAAAGATTGCTGTTTTCTTTATTCTTCAAACCTACTTTGTTATTTAGTGCCGTCTCCCACTAATATTAGTAGCCTTAGCACACTACAGCCATTAATTTTTAGATCTTGTGATAAAAAGATGTTCGTTACATAGCGACTCGCTGACAAATATTACTTTAACGTGGGAACAACTTGCTATGGTGCATATTAAAGTATAACATACATTTTTCGAAATCCGACGTGAGACTCGTTTACGGGGTCTCTAGTATACACCAGTGCTTCTTGTGGAATAGCGTGTCTGATTTCTTAGTAACCTTTTAATGTAGACGCCTTAAAGAATAGGCGATTTTCTGTTCATTGTTGTCGCAGAATCTAGACTTGATTAAAATCCGAACCATTAGCAATACTACTGCTCGAGTTCCTCTGCAAGCACGTCACCAATATCTCTTCCAACAATAGCTTCTGCAACCTTCCAAATTTGTACGAGATTGTCTTCCGCAGCGCTACATACGAGCCAGGGTTCATTCAGATTCCAACTAAAATCAGAAAGATGGTTTGTATGACCTCCATGCATGAAAAGACTTTTCAGTTAGCAAAAAGTAAACATGAAGATAACTGCGACCTACAGCTCAGGTGGCCCATCATCTAAGTCATCTGGCAGTTGTTCTTCTCCGATTCGGCTTAGATCCCAAAATATAATTCGACGATCATAACTGCCACTTCCAAGAATAGATGTCTCGGTTGGATGCCATGCGAGAGAGGTTACAGCATCAATATGGCCCTCTAAAGAATGTACTTTGGACGAAAGATTTCTCAAATCCCAGATACCGATTGATTTATCATGTGATGCAGTTGCAAGAAGAAATTCAGAAGAGTGGTTGAAGGCTAAGGCGTTTATGGCGTCAGTGTGTCCGTCTCGATTGCTAAGAACAGATTCATGCGCTTGATTCCTTGTATCAAGGATCTGAAGGGTAAGGTCATCCGAGACAGTCCCAATCAACGACGCGTGAGCTGGGTGATATTGTACATCATTCACAACGGCAGTATGGTGTTCGTAAATTCCTGAACATTTGATTTTTGGGGCCTTGAGAGTACTGATAGTATGCAGATCCCTACATTTATTTAATTCTGACTTTATTTTATCGGTGTATCCCTTACCAGAGCCTAACCGTGGTATCATTGCTTCCTGTAGCCAGCTTACCTTCTTCCGTGGGATTCCAGCACAGGGCGAATCCTTCTGATGAATGACCTGTGAGTTCAATTTGGGGAGTGACGGTCCCGTTAGGAATACTGCTATGTTTAGTGCGATCAAATATCAATATTCTTCCATCGTTGCACATTGTAGCAATGATGTTGATATTTTGAGGTTGATATCTAGCCTTATTAACCTCCCCGGGATGATCAATCTTCTGTTCAATGTTCATCCTTATGGTTGGCTGTTCCCCACTAGAGGCATAACCGCCAAACTCACCCTTAGCTTCATCGTATTCATTCTGATTTGGTGTAAGGTTCTTGGGGATCTCAACGTTGGCAATTTGTAGATAGTTGTCTTGACCGCTCGATGTATGTGTTCCAATTAATAAACGATGAACAGTATAATTTTTTTCTGGGGGCCTGGAGGATCTTAGCCTTTTGTATCCCAGAAGCGGTAGCCGGATTTACTGTTTAATGTCAGGAAACCATTGGGTCGTCAATGTTGGCCATTCTAACGCAGTGCTTTAGGGAGTCAAATTTTTTTCATCCGTGTTGTAATCATTCATGTATACCTCAGAATCATATCGTAAAGGAACGGACTATTTTTCTTCCAAGTTTTGTACTCTTGCACCAGTCACGTTAGATACACGGAATTTATACTGAGTAGAACTCACCTTCATTTATGATCTTCTGTTGCATTTCTTCATCAACGGCTGAGCCTGCTAGAATATGACACTGATGAGCAAAATTGTAACTAATATATGACTATTTATAGGAAGGTTACTAACGCTCTAGATCAGGTTCGGAGCCGTCCATCTTCTCAATGAAAAGTATGACAAGCGTAGAAGATTTTATAGAGTCGCTTTTCGACGATGATTTAATCTTTGGGCGTATGTAAATGGCGTTCTAAGGATGGATTTCGTGTTATCTATCATTACAGCCTTGTCTAATAGTTCGCTAAGATAGACTTCCAACATAATGCGCTTGCGGTTTGGCGCGTTGATGTAGCGGAAATCTTTGGCATGACGTAAATAATCCTTAAGTTAAACATTCCCGTTGTGTCAACCACGATCTGAAGGTGAATAGTCAAATAAAAAATAATTGCAAATAATTTTTAATTTCGTCTGTCTCCAATCGATAACTTTATCTGGCATTTAAAGCCCCAACTACCCTTCATAGTGCTAACGTTAGAGAACGAAGACTGCATACTTGTCACTAGTGCCCTGTACGAACCCGAGGATTGAAAGCATGTAGATGTCAACTCATCTGCAGTATCCTTCTCGAATCTGTGAATAATCTTCCAGGTTAATGTTCTGACAAACTTCGCAATAACGAATTAGTAGGTCTACAAGGCAATGATTCAAGATTCTCAATCACATAAATATTTCACTCCCAATGTGATCTATTCCCACCCAAGCATCATCCAGTCTACCCATACGATCTATTGCATCCTCGTTTTACTGACAGCACCGATGGATGACTTAGCTTCTGGCCCCAGATTGACTCCAGATATACGCCCATGCCGATATTAATATCCGGATGAGGAGAAAATTTATGATACATTAAAATGGGACGCATGTCTTTGGGATACATGTGAGAGATATCAAGCCAGATAGGTAAAATTGTACAAGGTATAGTTACAATCTTGGGTGTGGGCTGATTTTAAATTTTGGAAAAGAGCTCTAAATTTTAACTTCAGTAGGCACGAGACATTTAGTAGCCACAATGCTACCGGTACTTGAAATACTGCCAAGGCCATATGATGCAGTTGTAAATCTTGTGGATCAGCCTCCCAGGTAGATCTTTGATATATTAGACACCTATCCTATTTGGGACAGAGTATCTATTTTTTTGCATCAGGTTTAAATTGCGTATGCAGCTATCTAGCTATGAAACCATATCAGTGAAGTGTATAATAGATGACTCAATTTAAAAGAGCCCTCATGCCTTACATTTCATTTGCAAGTACCACTGCGAAGTTATGGCGGCTTTTTCTCATCCCCAAGTCAACCCTCATCCGTGAATACCCACCCTTGGCAACGTCTCAAAAACCTTCAGTTATCCAGACATGCCTCCATGATCCATTTACTTTTCTCCGCGCGAAATGTAGTCTGAGATTTCTCCTTCCCAAGTGGAATAGGTGCCCAGGCTGCTCAAACTACACCATAGAACACCACCAGGAGGCGGACCACAACACCTTCCATCGTTGGCTAGTGTAGATAGTGTCAGTTGCACTCTCGCAAGCGAAGTCTTGGTGCGCTCAAACCTCAATTCATAAACCGCCTTGCCAAAATTCAAAATCCCACGCCCGTGGCATTGTATCCATCCTCCGTGTCATCTTGAAAACTTGTCCTGATCCCTCTCATGTTTATCCCAAAGAGCTATCTCCCAGATTTGTGCTCCACGCTTTGCTTCCTCCATCGGGTATAAATATCGGCGTGGGCGTGTATTTGGTGGTCAACTGAGGCCAGAGAAGGTCGAAGAGAGGTGTGGTCATTGGAATGAGGATGTACTAAGTTAAACCTCTAAAATCGATATGGCTTAGGTAGGATTCGATCTCATTGGGAGTAAAAAGTGACGTGGTTGAGTATTTTGAATCATTGCCTCGTAGGCAAAATTTTCCGGTATTGCGAGATTTAACTGAACATGGCTCTGGGAGAATATTTCACTCCCAGGTTCGTAGAGGCTGTTAGGGATCATGACTAATCACGCAACAGCAAAAAATTCAGTTTTCTACAGGCATCCAAATTGCTGAAGGAATCGAAGTTAGAAGCTACAAGTCACCTCTATTAACTTTCCATATAGTCTAACAGCCACATGTGACCTCCCACTTAATTATTCTTTAATTATTATTATAAATTCATTTTATCGTCTTTTCTGAGTCTATGACTATGTAGGACATGCAGGTCCTCTCTGCCTGTAGGTCGAAAATATCTATGCCAGTAGTATATCTCCTCCTATGCCTCCCATATAGCTCCCCTCAAACAGTTCCACCCCTTACAAGTCATTATTCGATCATACACTAAGAGGAGCCCTTTGCCCTTCATTATCCCCCCTCTCCAGCCAACGACACGATGGCCATTTGCAGGTGTATGACAGCCGGGAAAATCGCAAAAACCACTGGGTGCGGTTCTCTCCTAATACCAACATTAGGACTAAATCCGAAGACATAGTGCCCCTTCTGAAGCGTTCGAAGAGGCCGGCCAGCTGGGCGCTGCAGACTTGTGGGTACCTCGGAGAATTCAAACTCTGCCTTTCTAGCCTCATTTCACCTCCTTCCCGAAAGTCGTGCTGAAATGTCAGAAAAGTCTTTACAAAGTGTGATTGCTGTGTAGCAGCTTAGCCCAACTTGTTCTGTGCCGTTGATTCATCGACAAAAGAAGCCCTCCTGGCTAATTAGCCGAAATCTTGGTCTTGGCGCCAACAAACGTTCCAAGGTTGGAAATCCCTCTAAAATTTGAGTCTCATCATAGTCTTCAAAGACCCATTCGCCTCTCGCTCTACATCTCAGCCGCCTATCCTTCCTTGAGATTTATAGCCCCATTAGAGCAACAGTCCCGCACAAATCATAACCCGAGCTCTGTATATTATGACTTAATTTCCTCCTTCCGGGTTTACTTAGCGTCATAAATTTGTACTGGGTGATAGACGGTAATGAATGAGGCAAGGCCCTGTTTGAAATTGGGGTGACGCCTTTATCGGTCGTCGAGGCGAGATGATATGTGGTTAGATCGGGGTTGAGGACTCAGAAGATAATAGTGACTGCTGCATGGTTGAGAAGTCGTCAAATGGAGATATGCATGTGTTTGCTTTCGACTTCGATTCGGATGCGATCTTCTTGGCTATCCCAGACATGCAGAGCATACTGAGCCATTACACTGGCGCCACTGGAAGGTGAAGAATTCGTCTTTACCGGTAATTACTCTCTAATGTTACTTAGATTTTCTTCAATACGAACTCCTTGTTTCTAGTGTTCTGTAGAATGGGAGGTTCCATGAAATTTTCATAATTGACGCAGTACTTATCATAGTCCTGCCCATCTATGGTAGCGAACGAGATTTTTTGCACTTCAAAGCTGCTTTGCTCAAACCCACGGCCTTAGAAAGTTCCGGAAGAAAGAAAATCGTCCGATTGCGTATGGGCGTGAAAAAAGGACTGAATGCGAAATGAAATCAGTCTTGCCAACCTTAAACCAGGACTTGATTGAGTAGGACAGTTTGGGAGATTTCGCTAGCAACGGGAAAGAATCATAGTTTGCTATGCAGTCTCTAAATCTAATCACAGGGTAAGTTCCATCCTTATTCAGATTACGATTGAAATGCAGTAGCAAATGAAGAGCATTTGTACTCGATCATGCTTGACCTGCCACTCAATTAACCAAAGTACTTCGTTTAATAGCACTTCCATCTTGTATTTGAACTCTAATAGCTATCATAGCTAGATAGTTGAATACACACCGAATTAAAAAAAAGGAACTCAGATCGTGTACCACCTGTTAAATCTTCAATTTTTAATTATCTCTATTTCAGCTCTCCACATCTAGATCTTTTTAATGGATTCGAAATTTGTGTCAACTCAGTAGATAACTCTCCTAAATAAGTATACCGCTCATTGTAATATTCGATGCCGTTGCATTCTGTTGTCACATGAATACAGTATCCCAAGTGCCAAGCTACGCTGGGAGCTAAAAATAAATGTGCCCTTGTAGCTAGAGGTCGAAGAGTCATGATCACCGACATATACAGAAGCTCTAATTCATCAAGACACCTGCCCCATCCAAATAAACAAAATATTTAAGAGCATAAATCATTAAATATATAGGGAGTAAAAGCACTCCAACAGTTCACATTAGCCAGCAAGGGTATGATAAACTGGAGGCGCCTAGGTTCATATTTAGTAACATTTCGAACCGCCTTGCATCAACACAGCACAAACAATCGATCGATTAAGCTTAGTACTACCTATTTTGATAATTATGGGAGTTCCCAAATTTTTCAGATGGATGAGCGAAAGGTATCCTGCAATTTCTCAGTTGATTGCTGAGAACCGCATACCAGAATTTGATTGTCTCTACTTCGACATGAATGGCATTATCCACAATTGCACACATAAAGACTCGGACGATGCAACCTTTCGAATGACCGAAGAGCAAATGTTTATTTCAATTTTCAATTATATCGAGCATCTATACGCTAAAATTAAACCTAAGCAGTTATTTTTTATGGCCATTGACGGGGTTGCACCTCGCGCCAAGATGAACCAACAACGAGCACGACGGTTCAGGACAGCTCTCGACGTCGAACTAGCTAGAGAAAGAGCAATAAGGGAGGGTAAAGAAATCCCGAAAGAAGATGCGTTTGATAGCAATTCAATCACACCCGGTAAGCTATCCATTTAAATTTAACTAGCAAGACTAATTATAAACCACAGGTACTGAATTTATGCACAAGCTGACTCGTCAGCTGAAGTATTTTATTAACAAGAAAGTGTCAACGGATCAGGACTGGAAAGGTGTTGACATCGTACTTTCGGGCCATGAAGTCCCCGGTGAGGGTGAACACAAAATAATGGAATATATTCGATTGGCTAAGGCACAACCAAACTACGATCCTAACACTAGACATTGCTTGTATGGACTTGACGCCGATCTGATTATGTTAGGCCTTTTGAGTCACGATCCACACTTCTGCTTGTTAAGAGAAGAGGTTACTTTCGGCCGGGCTAGCAAGTCGAAATCGAAAGAACTAGAACACCAAAAGTTCTTTCTTATGCATCTCTGCATTGTACGCGAATATTTGGCCTTAGAGTTTCAAGAACTAAATAAACCTGGTGCTCTAGAATTCGGATTCGATATTGAGCGAATCATAGATGATTTTATACTTTTGGCGTTTTTTGTTGGAAATGATTTCTTACCAAATCTTCCCAACCTTCACATCAATGAAGGAGCATTGGGCTTGATGTTTCAAACCTACAAGTCAATTCTACCCGAAGCTGGTGGATACCTAAATGAGAGAGGAGTGATTAATATGGACCGTCTAGCCATCCTTCTCAGGGAACTTTCTCATGTTGAGAGCCGAGTTTTTGAAACAGAAAATTCCGACCAAAATTGGCTTAGATCTCTACAAAAAAGCAAAAGAGACGAAAAAATTGCAAATAAGACCGAAATTGATGGTATCACTACCATGACCTCACAACAAAAAGAAGTTTGGAAAAAAATCAAGGAGTTTATTACAAAACGCCAGACAGCGCACTTAGACTTGCCAATAGCATTAAAAGCTAATGACAGGAAACTTTTTCAAGACCTCGCTGAAAAGATATCCCTGGAATGGAGGACAGTCGAGAACGAAGATGGTGATCGACACATGCGACTCTCTTTCCTCCCGCTTAGTGAAAATGAAGAAGAAGTCAACATAGCATCGCAAAATGAAATACAACGGGTTATAAAGCAGTTTGATGACACAAAAATTTACGATGCAAGTAAGGCAGAGTCTAGGGCAGAGACGAGCCGCCTTTATGACGAAAAATTCTTAGAATGGAAGGATAAATACTACAAGGGAAAATTTGATTGGGGGAGGAGTAACACTGTCGAACTTACCAAACTATGCGAAAATTATGTCCAGGGTTTACAATGGGTTCTATTCTACTATTACCGCGGTGTTGTTTCATGGTCGTGGTTCTATCGATATCACTACTCCCCCTTGATTTCGGATGTTATTAAAGGAGTGGACGCTGATTTCAATTTTAAGCTGGGTCAGCCATTTAGGCCTTTTGAACAACTAATGGGTGTCCTTCCTGATCGAAGTAAAGGTCTTATTCCTACTGTTTATCGTGATTTGATGACAGACCCGGAATCTCCCATCATTGATTTTTATCCGCGAGATTTTGAACTTGATATGAATGGTAAAAAGATGGAGTGGGAAGCTGTAGTCAAAATTCCTTTCATAGATGAAAACCGTTTATTGGGTGCTATGTCCACCAGAAATAATATGTTGAGCGACGAAGAAAGAAAACGAAACGACTTTGGCGTTAGCTTGAAGTTTACTTACGACTCCAATACAAACTTTATATACAAATCCTCTCTTGTTGGTATATTCGAAAACATCGATCAATGCCGATGTGTTGAAAATACTTATGACTTGCCAACTATTGGGGGACTAGATTATCACATCGGTCTCATAGATGGAGTAAAACTTGGGGACGCTGCCCTAGCTGGATTCCCTAGCTTGTCGACGCTTCCTTATAATGCAACTCTATGTTTCCATGGTGTTAATATGTTTCAAGCAGATAGTAGGAATGAAAGTATAATAGTCACACTCGAAGATACACCTCTACGGGCAAATGCAGCCGCAGCCAAAATGAAACTTGGACAACGTGTATTTGTTGGATATCCATACTTGCAAGAGGGAAAGGTATTCAAGGTCACCGATGAATTGTTTACCTATTTACCCTCAAATGATGGGTCTCCTCAGCCAATTCAAAAGTCTCACTCCCAGCGAGAAATCGAGGAATTTAATAAAAAATCCGAGAGAATCGAGGATAATTATAGCAAGCGTTTAGGCATCCTAATAGGCCAAGTTGAATCTATAACTCATGTTGAGATACTAAAGGGATTGAAAAAGACTGGTGATGGTGCTGTTGTTAAGGAGTATGGTATTATTCCAGGAATAGAGGTTGAATATGCTTCGCAAATTATAGTTGACGAGGTGATAAGCGAGGATCCACGTTTCCTAGAGCGCGAGGCTATTCCAATAGAAGAAGAGTTTCCCCCTGGAACAAGCGCCTTTTTTCTCTCTCCAATTCACTACGGACAACCTTTAGAGACTATTGGATTGAACGATAATCTTGTTGAGATTTGGCTGTCCAAATCAATGGTCAAAGAACCTGACTTTGGACACCAAATAATTTCAGAGAAATATCATGCAGAATCATCCTACACTCCTGCATTTTCTGTCGCTCAATTACTTGGCCTCAATGCTCTCGCACTAAGTAAAATCACATCATCTTTTGTAATATCAACGCCCGATTCGCCTCGATTAAACTTAGGACTAAATTTAAAGTTTGAATCCAAAAAACTCAAAGTACTTGGCTATACTAGGAAGTCGGATAGAGGATGGGAATATAGTAATAAAGCTATTGAGCTTATAGCGAGTTATATGAGCAAGTTCCCGGAATTTTTCGCTGGCATTCAACGTAATGTTCGAGCTAACGAATACCATGAAACGGATTTCTATCCACCGGAGATAGCCAGCATAAAAATCAAGGAGATTGTTGCTTGGCTCAAGTCAATAGAGTCCAAGAGCTTTGAAAAGGTACCCTTGGACGCAGAACAGCTTGAAGCTGATGTAGTTCAGGCAATTGAAAAGGCTTGTGATGATGCCTTTGAAAATATGTCAAATGTTATTTATACGAGACTCAAAAATGTACCAAGAAATGCGCTCATCAAACCCTCTGATGCTGAAAATCGTCTTGGTCATCAGAAATTTGAACTTGGTGATCGTGTCGTGTATGTGCAAGACTCAGGTCGTGTCCCAATTGCCTGTCGCGGTGTGGTTGTTGGTATTTCTCGAACAGCTAGAACTGTACTTCTTGATGTGGTATTTGATGCCTCATTTATGAGTGGAACAGATCTAGGTAATCGATGCTCACCCTATCGTGGCTCTACCATCCCCGCATCATCTGTAATTAATCTTACAAATAAACAAGCTGTTGTAGGCAATCATCTGGATGAGGGCCAACAAGAGACAGAAAATATTTCGTCCAGTGTGAATGGTAGGTACATTTCTTCGCATCGACCAGGTGGGAGAGGCAATTATTATAGTGCTGAAGCCCCGCCAAAAGGAAAACTTTCTTTTCGTGACGCAGCGGCAGGGAAATACCAAAACGGCCATAGCTATGGCAATACCAATAGACCAGAGTTTAAACAGACTTACGGATCGTTTTCTGAAAACCATGGGCATGTCACATATGGAGGGAACACACAATCCCGTGGGAGTCCACGAGGTCGAGGTGTAAATATTCCATTTCGAAGGCAAGATGGAAGTCGATCGCCCATATGTAACTTCACTGCTGTACCACCGCCATCCAGCTTAAATGCTGGTCGAGATAGCCCGGGACGGGGCCGAGGATCCGGGAGAGGTCGAGCTGAAAATCGGGGCTCGAGGTGGCGTGGTACGTAGAATTGTGTTGAAAAGCAAGTAGGTGATCCTTCTTATGGATAGGTATTGGCGTCAGCTATGAGTCATGTATGAGGTAGTAATTAATTGGCTTGCCGCACTCACTGTGAGCAATATGTTGCGGCGCAATTTTTCAACCATAAATGAGAGAATTCTCATTATCAACCTACACATGCGTGATTCCAAGAAAAATTTAATACTTGAAGAATTTTTCATATTCAGCCTAAACATAATCTATCGCCTTACAGGTCTCATCTCTCGGGGCTCGAGCTGACCGTGAGTCCCTCCTGGACAATTATTAAATGAGTTCCTATAAAAACTAATCGCTTCATGCAAAAAATCGTATCTAATAATTAAGCTACAAGAATTAGAGGCAAAAATGTACAGTTGTATCAATTTTATCTCAAAACTTTATGCTTTAATTGGGTAATGAAATACCAAACCGAGTCATAATTCATGAGCTCGGCCAGAAATCATTAGTTACTATCATGCGGCGAGATAGTGATTAAGGCAATTCTAATGATGGATGAATAAGATACGATAATTTGAGAAGGCACTGTGTGGCTTGTGCATGTACAAGCAAGGAGTACTACAGGTTTCTGGTGCTAGCTCTACGCTAGTCCGAGTCACAACACTGGCCTTTTTCACCTCTGCACGACTTTGTAGCTTTGGCAATCTAAGCATCAATCATTACTTTGGTCCAGCTATTCAATCATGTGGAGAGCAATGATAGATGCCGATTTGATCTCCCCCTTCTATGGATGTCGTCTCAACAGTTATTTTAGGTATGTCTCTATCATGACATTAGCGTGGCACCCCACTGTAGGCATGGTTCTTCGAGGACTATTTCAGTGAAAAGCTTCGAGTTATTCTCCAACAACATCTGATACTTTATCAGGTGAAGGATGCCATAACGTTACGTGTAGTCTAACGTCTTTCACTCAATACTTGAATCTCCTCGGCACAAGGTGTTGAGATCCCACAGTTGTGTTGATCTGGTGCAAATTATTTTTAAATTCTCAATATCGATGGACAGATTTAGCTCGCTGTCTGTCCAAAGTCGGGTTATTAGTACCAAATCCATGAAGGCGCGTGCAGTTGTTAAAAAGACCGATTTTAGTCGAGCAATCGGAGCCGATAGATCTTGATACCCACCTTCTTAGATACCATAAATTGCCCTAGATTATCCGGCTCTGCCTCTCAATTGGTCATTTAGTTTTCAAAATTTGAGCACCAACTAAAACTTTAACAACTCAGTGAACTCGGGCTCAAGAGCGGTGACAATAGACAAATTTTTAGCAGAATATCTGAGCTGCTTTCATTTATGCCCAGGAGAAGTTGATTAACATATCTGTCAAATGACCTAATGACTTCATGACCTCTCATGTATTATCGTATAAATTATTACTAATTATGTTGATGAGTAATGAGTCACCTGTTTAGGAATGGCGTTATAAGAGAGGGACAACTGCTGTAAATAAGAGTTTCCTTGGTTATACTAAAGACAAGAATCAAGATACATGTTAGCCACCAATTATAATTACTGCCAAAGAAAGCGTGTGATAAAAGTACCACCCGAGTATTCCGATAATACCTGATGCACAAGTGTTTCTTACAATTTTTGATGAATGTCGGAATATCCTAGCGCGCAAGAACTCGGACCGCGTGATAAAGAGTAATTGCCAACCTTGGATTCTAGGCTGAGTTTGCCAAAAGGGTGTCATTGAAGTTGTTGATGACTTGGTGGTATTCGTAATAAATGCTGCAGATAGGGACCAATTGGTCCAGTCATACCTTCAATACTTACAATATTGCCGTATGTAGCATTTTCGAATGTCACTAAATCGTTCCGTTTGGCTGTCGGCTTCAGGGTGCTAGACAATAGATAAGAGGAGCCTTGTCTCGCTACGTTTGTGGATTGCGTGCCAAGTCTTAGCTATGAATCGGGAGCCCCTATATGAACCAATTGATTCTAGATACCGGTGAAGTTTTCAGAAGAGTTGATAAATAATTTGAGCATGCCCGCTATATCGACATCATTAAAACAGAAGAAATGGTGTAATTTATCAGTCGACAGCTCACCACCAAAATAAAATCACAAATTCGGGCCTCAAGAGTCTGATAAATTCAATAAATATATCTGCTAGCTATAAGATCTGGACACAGCAACTTTGCGGAATACCATTGACGGTTTGAGCATGTCAATGCCATTCTAACCTGTTCATATGGATAAGAATAAAGCCCCCGATCATTTCTTCTTGTGCCGTATTTGGCAGTCCTAGAATCGGCTAAATAGGGCCCAAAATTTTACTCACAACATATCTTAGGCCATGGCTTCAGTAGAGGGAGTTCACGCCTTTAATAGCTGGGCACGTACCATAGGTTTCTTTATAGGGACACAACAGCAAGTCTGACTAGACTTGAACCACTGAATAGAAGGATAGAGAGCCTCAGATTGATATAGATACATTTGTTAGCGAAACAGATCGTGTCCTAGCAGATAGAACGTGGAACCTCCAGTATCGAATTTCACGACTCGCTTAGTTACAAGCCGTGCACTGTCTGAACGATAGACGCGTCAGTTAGTATTCACCGAGTAATGTAAGCTTCGAGTCGTAGAGACGATCTGTCAAGTGAAGGAGTAGTCATACTTTGATGACTCAAGTCATTGACAGAGTAATTCTCAGTTATACGAGAGAATGAGATTCGTTGAGAATAGAGTAGATAAGTGGAACATAGTTTGGTGGATGTGGACTTCTATGAGACCCAACTTATATCACCACTGTGGGATATCAATTCAATCCTGGTTCATCTACGCCTTACATTTTCTGTGCATTGTCTCTTATCAAGTTATACAAGTGATCAGAGTACGTATATTTTAATAACATTCTTTCTTTTTCCATTTTTAAGTTTCCCCATAATAACCATCTGTTAATCATGGAGTTCGTCAAGAGGCTGACGTTCATGTATATTTTAATCTACGAGCGCAGGATTATTAGATCCTGGCCTTCTGTTATTATATTGGGTCTGTGTAGGCGCCAACACGTCGGGTAGTTTAATTTATACTGGGCTAACCGGTACGTGAAAATCTCATTTGCTGTGCGTGGGCAAGACGTTAAATATTATAAATTGTGAGCGGATGCATGTCTTAGTATAGTCAGCTCTAGTTATGCAGCTATATAATATATAACGACTGGGATTTATGCAGACATCCAAGGTAATCCGTGCGTACATACACATAAGAATGGCGGTCTTTCTGGTTGAGCCTAGACAGAGAACCTAAGTGATTTAGTTGTAATACAAGATTGAGCCAATAACGTTTACATAAATGAATATCTTATCGACCGCGCTCGGTGGTTGGAAGTTTTTGAGTAGCCCTTGATATTTTTGCTATAATGAACTCATCGGCATGTGCATGTGAAAGCAATTTTTATATTTCTTGATAGCCTGAAGCATATTGGGCCACGAGTGATCTGTATGAATATATAAGAGCCCCTTGATTTGATTTCATTATCCTGATTTGGCGCCCTCTGGGCCCATGCAGATGTCTATATACTTTTTAATTTACATGGGAGGAAACCTTTTGGTAAAAACCCCCCAAACCTTTCTGCTTCATTTCTATGTTTTTTATAAAGTATCCTTTAGGAAGCGCAGTTACACTATAGTGCCCTCCATATAACCCAATCACATCAGCTTTATTGACCTCAAGAAAGGCATGACCTGTTCCTTTCCCTCAGCAGCATTTCGACCGCCTTTGTCATCTGGAATTGCTCTATCCAACCATGATTTAGGATCCGCTGTGTTATCCTTTTGATATCTCCAGGATTGCTTAGCATAGCTTCGTAGGACCGATCTTTCGCTTGTCTCCAGATCTCTACTCTTCCGTTTGACCATCGAGGGCAGGACATAATCATGTGCCTGGGGTTCTGCGATTGGTAGCTACATGGACAGCTTGGACTGTAGACTCCGGGTACTTTTCTTCTGTATAAATACGAGTTGAGCCCTATGTGCTCACTTCGTATTTGAATTGCTAGACTGCTTTGGGCCCTTGTCAGGTTTCGGTGGAGTAGGAATGGCGATTCTTGGAGACTTATTTTCCATCGATCCGACTTTTGGTTCTGATAGAACTTGACTGCTCTCCAGGTTTCGAGGTCGGCGATTGCTTTATGTCGAGGTAATTTGAGCCGCCTTTTGTTTTTCCAGGATTTAGCCTATTCTTGGTATGCTGCAACTTTTTCTGACTCTTTCTGCCGTTTTTGTGACAGGTCTTCCCCACAAATTTCCAACCAGTTTACCAGATCCAATCTCCTATTATTGGCTTGAATATCTTCTCTCCCTCGTTTGGGCAGCTTGATATTACTACAGGCAGATTGTATGAGCTTCTGAACTGGTAGGTTTTTCGAGCGGCCAACATCTTGGAGTCTTTGCTGCTTCAGGTAGATTTCTATCGGTAGGGTGGCAGTTTCGTGTTCGAGCACTCTCGTGCTAGTCGACTTATACGCACCTGTCACTATTTTTAAGCAGTTTCTTTGAATGCTTCGAAGGAGTTTCACTATTCTTCCAGGTATTTTACCACCTGGCCCGGCCTCGGCCCAAATCGGGGACCCATACGTGAATGCCGGTCTCACTATTGTGCTACACAGTAGCTTTGCCTTATGAAATGTCACCCCCCATGTAGACTGTGCTAACCTGCTCATTACCTGGACCTGTGTCTCTACCTTAAGCTGTATACTTTTGACGTGCGCTCCCCAGTTTAGCTTTGGATCGAAGTAAATTCCGAGGACGCGGAGAGAAGGCTGCGGGACTGTCGTGTGATCTTGTATTTCGATTGTTGCTTTCAGATTGTGTCTTTTCCTTGATCGTGAGAAGTGCATCAGCTGGTACTTCTCGGGCGCAAATCTAACTCCATGCTTTATTGCCCACTGCTCGCAGACCTTATGCTTCTTTTCCAACTTTCGGCAGTTTTCCTCGGTTGATTGTGACCATGTCAGGATATTTGTATC